GCAGCCTCTCAATCCACGGCTTGGTGCTGCAAGAGGCTGCCGAGAGGTTTCACTTTCGTGGAAAAACACAAATGTGCGAAAACAACGGCCACCCTCACACATCTCCACTCCCTCCACTGTCCCACACAAAAGGGCGGTGTCATGGGGAAGAGAAGCCCGCCGCACAGCGCATGCACAAGGGCACATGCAATAGCAACGCCATCCACGTCACACCGCAAGATAGTGCCATGCGCACAGCACACACACCGCCACAACGAAAGGGGTGCATCCAAGTACATACCGCACAGCCATTTACTTCTCTCCGCACGGCTAGTGGCGTCCCACACCCACAGTGAGGCACGGCGCACAACATCCGCTCCCGTCCGAGTGCACTCAGCAGGCCGGCGCCCAGTCACCCCAGTGCCATCGCAATGGGGAGCACAAACAATCGTCGTCGTGGGCCATCGATGCCTCTAGATGGAAAGAAGAGAAAAAAAAAGAACGGGGCATGTCAACTGCACAGTCAGCAGAGGAACACTCAACGGGATACAAAGACACACAGTGACAGCAGATACGGTAACTACAGAAACAAGCCGCAGGGATTAAAAAAAAAAACAAAAAAAGAATGGGTGGGAGTCCGGCATGACTCCCAAAAGTAACAAAAAAATTAATGGAAAAATTGATGCTGCTGGACTTTTATTTCATGTGCTGAGCAGCACAAAGCGACTGTTTTTATATAAATATTCTCCGCACCAAAAAAAAAAAAAAAAACATTTGAAGCAAAAAGAAAAAAAGATCGCACTGTTCCACCAGCCCACACAACATTCTTCACATTTCATGCGGCATCCGGCCTGTTCTCCTCAATCCTCCTTTCGTGCAGTCCATGGGACGCACAGCCGCAGGGCCGGCACCGCGTGTGGGCAAAAACAAAAACAACCAAGAGGATGAAACACTTCGCTCATTACAGTGTGCAGCAACCAGACATTACGCAAAGAAAAAACAACAATACTTACCACTACAGCTGAACTGCATTAAAAAGGCATTTAAAAGTAAAAACATTAAAGAAATAAAAGATAAGTAAAAATGCGCGGGCAATGCGGCATTTATTCTCCGTGAGGCGTCGCTAATCCACACTCTTTGGCTCAGAAGACTGCCACCACCCAAATACAATCCCAGTAGAAGCAGCAACACACAAGACACGCACACACGCACGGTGTTGTCACCGCTCAAATCACGCAGTGTCAATTTCACGTCGTTGAGAGAGGCGAGGTGGTCGTCGGGACTCACGCCGCTCCACACCCTGCAAGGTGACTGTTTGTAGTGGGGATTCGTGTCCAGGGGCGTGTTGCCCATTCATTTCCTTCGGTAATATCCCCAGCAACGTGCTCTCTGACGCTGTCAACTACTCGAATCTTCTCGGGTGGCGTCGGGGCCGCTTCCCTTGTCGGAGCGGGGACACTTTCCTTGAGTGCACGCATCGCAGTGGAGTTCGGTGGGTGGCTGTACAGAAAGACGTTCGTCACCGTCACGTGGGATTCGTGCCCAACGGACGCGCCAAAGCAAACCCTCAGAACCTCAGGTGGCCTCTCGCCTGTCAACAGCACCTCTTCCGCCCCCAGCGACCGACCATCAACGTTCACGGAGGCCTTTTTGCTTTGCAGCATGAGTGCCACTTGGTGTTCTTTCCTCGGCTCCCAAGTGCTGCTCCGTGTTGTTGTCTTGCCTTCGAACGCCGTCTCCCACTTCTTATTGTGGCTGCACGACAGTCCCACGGTACGATTGGACGCAGTGTCCGCCAGCATCGCAGTCAGTAGAGGAGTGTTCCCACTCGGAGTCTCTTCGATGCTCACCGACACCACAAGTGTGAAGTTGTGGCTCAAAAATACATGACGCACTTCATCACCCCGACTGTTCACAGGCCATATTGCCCTGGACTCAAGTCCCGTCAATTGAAACCCATCGCTGTCCTTCACTGCATTCCTCCACCGTCGCATGCAGGCAAAGGTACTCGTCGTCCCACGTGCCATCACTGGCCGCATCGGACAAAACCGCCACCAGACCCGCCGTGGGTGTAGACAAGCTGGAGAAGAAAGTGTCCTTTTGTGCCCAAGTACTGAGGACAGAATTGATTGCACTCAGTTCCTCCGTCAGGCGGGAAAATAAAATGACACGGCCCTCACCGTTGCCCCTCCGTTGTAAAAGATGCAAACCGCCATCCGAGTGCAGCAGGGTGCTGGCGAGCATCCAATCCGCAGCTTTGTCCACGGCAACCGGTCCAACAGAAAACGTGCGGTTGTTGTCCGTAACCCAAAGGTAGAGCGCAGTGGCCCTTTTCTTCCCCGAGACTTACCCTCTCTGAGTGCACAGCATGACCCTCCTTCCTTCCCTCAATGGTTGCGGTGATGAGGGCATCCACATGCAGGCTTTCTTTCTGGGAGACCCCTGATCGTGCGTTGACCCACACGCCTGAGAGTGTCCCGATGGCCTCCGTCCACGCTGTCCCCATGTCACGCGACTCGCACACCCTCTGGCCATTCTCGCAGTCAACACTCATGAGAAGTGATCCCTCCCATTCGGTGACGCGGGGCTAAGGCATTCCGCAGGGAAATGTCCTCAGAGAGCGCCCAGGCACTGCCGTTGTCCGTCGAGCAAATGATCATGGAGCAAACGCCTTCTGCTTCATCCTTCACCATCAGAGGAAACACAAGCGTGCCATCCTCCATCACAACACCTGCGCCACCAGAAGCAATAAACTCCGTCCAGTCACCCTCGTGAGAAGCGGAAGAGGTCAGTTTCGAGAGTGGTTTGGGGTCGCCACATTTGATCCGTCCACTCTGCTTGCCACCCGTGGGATTCGTGACATCACCCACAACCAGTTTCGGCTCCAAGCCGCCCTCTCTCCAACACCCACCTTCGTAGGACACATCAGAGCCTCCCGCAAGAGGAAACACTCCGTTGCCCTTCGTGAGTGTTGTGGGGCGGAGCACAACACCCAAACTCTCCTCTCCCTCCGCTGCACCAAGCACAGTGTGTGCCCTCCATGTATCCTTTTATTGACCTCACCAACAAGAGTGGACAAACTCCACGCAGAGTCGATGCACCCCGCAACCACATCAGAAGAAAAGGGCTTACTTAATTGACCACCTTGATATTCGGCATCCATGTGACCCTCGGCGAAAGCAGCAATTACTCCACCAGCACTGACGAGAGAGGGTGAAGCGAACGAATCCCTCGTCGTAACTGGAACAATCCCATCCTTCGGCTGCACCAGCGTCGTCTGCGGCACAAATAGATCGACTCCCCGCGGCAACTCAACATTTATTGAACCACTCATCGCATCATCAATGGGATCCTCCTTCGACTCGGTGACAGGCGTGGGCCTTCTTCTGGATGGTGCCGGAGCTACTTCTGTGTTCCGAACAAAAGCAAACTCAGGCCTCGTCTCGGACGTGTTGGTCGCCGTGTTGGATGCGGGACTCTGGTCGACTGTATTGGCTGCGTCAGCCGCGGCAGACTGTCGCCAATCCTCGTTTTGACGTGCCGGCTCAGCATTCACTTGCGGCACAGTTGTCCCACCAGATTTTGTGTCATCCTTCCCTTCACGGGGTGGCGGCAACTGACAGATGCCCGTCCGGTCAGCATCGCCGCTCCGTGCAAGCGGATGGATGGTTCCATCGGGAGAAGTTTGATGCCACCGCAATTCATAAGGGCCGGCGTATTTGTGTGTCGTCACATTCATCGTGAAGGCAACGGTGGCCCCTTCCTCTTTCGTTGCACAGCTGGCAGCACAGTTGCTACATGTGTGCAGCGCATTGGCCACATGGCACACAGCACCCAGCTCACCATCTCCGCTGTGCATGCGCACATCAAAGCCACTAAAAGTATAATTCTCATACTGAGCCTCAGCACTGGCAGAAGAATACTTCTTCCACGCCCACACACACACACGCACGCGATAGCTCAGGCTGCCGTCACTCGGAGCACACGACACATCCACCGGCACAACCACCGTATCCGCATCACCAGATACATGTCCAGCACTCCCAGCAGCCGTCACGCACACGGACGTGCAGCAGCAGCAGCACGAGAGCGCAAGGACCAACACGGTGCCGCACCATCACCATCGTCACCATCGCAGTCATCATCACACGTAGTGGAGTCGCTGCAGTCAGTGAGCCGATCCGTGAGCCAGAAGAAACGGAATGGAACAGGAGGGAGAGGGACGGAGTGCAGCGGATACAGAGAGAGAGCAGACAACATGAGGAGAGGGCAGCAGGCCCAGCCGCACAGTTCACACACCACGAGACGGCATCCACGCAACGAAGGCACACAACGCCAGCAGCCACCCACCATGCAGGAGGAGAAGACATCCACCACCATCTCCCCCAGCTCATCGCTACAGCCCCAGAGAAATGTCAAAAACCCGCGGCCACCACACCAGCCACACGCGCAAGCGAACCCTCATCCATCCATGACGCGCCACCAAAATTTCCAGCCATCCCGCCCTCAATGGAACACGGAGCCCAACTCAGCGCAGTCACACGCGGTGCACCACACCCGCAGGAAAAGAGACTCGGGCTGCGCACTCCCTCTGCTCCCTTCTCATCATAGCCACGGAAGGAGACAACAGCCGCCACACGCAACTGCCAGCATGCACTGCAAAAGGAGCATTCAAATCCACTGCAATGTGCATCTTGTGTGTGTGTGGTTGTGTGTGCCTGCGGAAACACAAAGCAATAAAGAAGTAGAAGAGAGGGAGCAGAGTATGTGGAGAGACGCACAACAAAAATGTGCAGCAGAGACGCATGGCAGAAACAACAAGAAGACCGCTCAAACTCATGACTGCACTGCCGCCCAAGCAGTGGCAATTCACACAAAATTTATTTAAAACAAAAACAAAAACAAAAAAACGTCCCCCTTCGTCTTATATAAACCCCATCACACAAAATAATTATAAATGAAAAAGAAATCGTCCATTACTGTTCCACACAAATTTAAAATTCGCCTGGCTGCCGTGTGGCCACACCAAACTGTCTGCATATATTTTGCCCGAAAAAAAAAATTAAAAAGATGGTTGCGTGTGTTTCAACCGTCTGGCCCTCCATTTGTCCGCACATCGTTTATATTTCATGGGGTCATCTGCGTGTTGCTGCTCCCCTCAGCCCTCCCATCGGCGTGCGAGTGCGGCCTGCAGAGCACAGTCACTCTTGTGTGTGGGGACTGAGAGAAGCACGCAGACATGACGGGAGTCGCGTCACTCCATCGGGAGAGTGAGCGCAGCAAAAGAAAAGAAAAACCATCAGGAGGGAGAGAAGTGCTGACGGGACTGCCAGCGCGTGAAATGAACACGAAAAGAAAACAAAACGAAAAGAAAACACGGCGGCAGGGTGTGGCTGTGTGTGTGTGGCGCTGCGGGTGTCTGCCCGCCCTGGCCGCAAAAAAACAAAACAAGAGGGAAAGAAATGTGTGCTCCGCCCCACAGGCCCTCGTCGCACGCCCACACGTCACGGCTCCTTCAGCGCGCCGTTCGTCGCGGCCCCTCCTCATGCGTGCAGCAGGCGAGGCGCACAGGGCCGTCGTCATGAGCGTGTCGGTGGGTGTGCGAGTGGAGCAGTTGGGCGGGAAACACACGGCACCCCTCACAGGAAGAGTGCAGAAGAAACAATTAAAGAGGGAAGAGTAGAAAAGAAAAAAACGTCCATAGTGATTGCCCCCAAAAGCAAAAAAGTGGGATGGGGGAATGGGAAATAAAAACAAATTTTAAAGAAAGAAAAGAATTTTGAAAAAAAGACACACAGTCGCAAACACAACAAAAGATTTAAAACGCACAAAAAAGCAAACAGGGAAAAAAGTTAATAAATGTTATTTAGAAAAGAGAAATTCATTGCCAGGTGTGTGTCTTTGTCGGTGGTGGGGAGGGCGCAAGTGTCCCACGTGGCAGCCAGTCACTCCTCACAGAGCCGCAAACCCCCACAGTCCCAACAGAAGGAGCAGCGATGGCAGCAGTCCGCTTCCGCAATCAGTGCCATCATCACCATGTGCTCTACCGGGACGAGCGGTACCTCGACCCTTTGCTCCTGCCGCCAAATGTTCAGCAGGAAGATTCGGGCGAGACACCGCAGATGAAGAAGTATCCCCTGCCATTGTCTTTGGAATGGAAATTTTGTTTGTGTTGAGCGCAGCAATGTCCGCGTCATTCAAGGGGCGGTTGTACAGCAGGACGTTCGTCACCGTCACAGACACGCCTTCTTTGCTGTCTGTGCTCACTCCATCCCCTCCAATGTAGAAGTGGGAGATCTCTTTCGAATCCGTATTTCCCAATGTACACGGTTCATTCCCCACACGCTGACCATCGACGTACGCGGAGCCATGGTTGCCGTTCAGCAGCAAAATTACCACGTGTTGAGTTTTCTCTGCCCCCAAAACGCTGCTATGCTCCTCGTTCGCTTCGCCATCGCACAGCACCTGCCACTTCTTCTCTTTGTTGTAAGACAACTCCATAAGTTTGTTTTCTCCGTTACTGCCCGCACGCACACCCATCACTGGAATGGGACCCTCCTTCGGCTCACCGTCGATGGACACCGTCGCCACAAGAGTGAACTTGTAGTTCGCAAAGTGGTACAGCTGATTCTCCCCCTGACTGCCAACAGGCCACTCCGCCCACGCTCCCCGGAACTTCACGCCGTTATCCGAAGTCTCTGTTGCCGCTGCTGCACCGCTCATTACCGTGGCGTCCACCCCGAGGTACTCGTCCCTCCATGTGTTCCCAGAGAAGTTGCCGGACAAAAAGCCAACCAGCCCATCCGCGATCTTATCAGCGCTGCAGGCAGTGTCAGTTGAAAGATCCTGCGCAGCACTTGGATTGATGCACAGCTGGGAGACACGTTCGTCCACTTTCTTCCACGTCGCCAGCACCTCCTTCACCCGCTGCAGCTGCTCAGTCAGGCGCACAGAGACCATATCGTGTGATTTTTTATTATTAACTTCTTTCTTCTTCTCGTACAGTGCAATCAACCCTTCCTGATTATTATTACCGACTTTGTACAACAGGGAGCTGACGGCAGCATCCTCCTCTTCCCCAGATACCGGCCCAATATCAACAATGTGCGTGTTGTCCGTCAGCCAAAGATGGAGTACGCCCTTTTCCACATTTTCTTTATCTTTCTCCTTGGTATACACCGGCAGAGTCACGAGCATCACATCCCTGTTCTCAATCGTCGCTGTAATGAACCCGCTTCTAACGAGTTTCACGTTTTTATCCCGTTTTTTGCCCCACACGCGCGAGAGTGTCCCGAGTGCCTCCGTCCACGAATCCCCCTTGTCACCGGACTCGTACACCCTGCGGCGGCCATCATCACACGCAGTCATCATCATGAATTTGTCCTTCTCCCACTCCACGACGGAGGGAGCACTGCAGCCATCGGCTGACATCCCCTTCGACAGCTTCCAACTCTTATTATCCGGAAAGTATATGAACAGTGAGACAGTGTATCCCATCCCAGCTGCATCTTTGCCATTCGCCTTCTCCGTCCTATACACCTTGCCTTCCATAGGGAACACAAGCGTACCGTCCTTCATCTTAACGCCCGATCCACCGCTCCCAAGCAGTACTGTCACATATCCATATTGTTCGGTATTAGAAGTGATCGGGAGAGCGTCAACATCAGTCCAATAAATTCTTTTGTTACGGTCCCCATCATCAACACTGACGTTCCCTCTCGCCAGCAAAAGCCCCACTTCACCTGTTATGTCCTCCCCAGCAGCAATGGTAACTGCACTTTCGTACATTCCAGCAAGCATGTAAATATCACTTCCCTTCACAACTGTTGTTGGTTTACCCAGACGTACTTCCGTGCGGCTTTTGGTGCCAGACCGATCCACTGCTTGGTCGGGGCATTCCGCTTTTCCAGAAGAACATTCCTCCAGTACTTGTGTCTTCAGTTTAGTTTTATCCAACTCCTTGCTTGTTTGTTTATCAGCCCACGTCAGGAGCTCCGAGGCAACCCCAGCAACATTCTCTTGATTTTCATCCACATCTTTCTTCGTGGACAGCGACCCGGCAACGGCAAACACATCACCATTCATCTCAACAAGACTTGGAGAAAGAAGCAAAATCACCGTTCCCTCACCTGTCGTATCTCTCCAAACAAACAATTTGCCCTTTGAAAGTTCCGAATCAGACGCTGCCGCACTGCTGCAGCACACCATCACGACGAGGAAGAGCGCCGCAGAAGTAAACACACGCCGAGACATGTTGGGCCTCGGCGGCTCACTCTCTCTCCCTTCCCTCCTCCTGCCGCTGGATCCGGTCACGCGGCGACGGTTGTGTGTGCGGGGTGCCTTCACTGCAGCAACACGTGAGAGCATATAAATATGTGTGTGTAGACTGTGTGCGTGCTGTTGGTCCTTTCAGAGCTTTCGAATTTCACAATAGCGATTAGCGCTTGTTTGCCTTCTTCGTGTGTAATTAAGAGAAATATAGAGAAAACATGCCAAGAAAAGAGGATGAAACAGTGAGCATCCTCACCCATCCACAGTGAGTGGCACCATCATCCGCGCCGCAGTCACTCCCAACAACAACAACTCACGCACACAGACACACGGAACAGGAGATGAAAGAACAGTGCACCGGGAACACACAGCGACTGCCACCGCCAGCAGCAGCAGGAGCCACGGCGGGTGTTTCTTTATTCTTCACGTGTCAGCACACACTGAACAACGCCCGCACAAAAACTAACCGGCGAAATGCAAAAGGGCACAACCTACCCTCGCAACACATACGCGCTGCCACTAGCCTTTTTACTGTTGTTTCTTCCATTGCCACCAATGGTCTTTTTTTCACTTCGAAGATTGTTGCCGTCTCCGGACAGAGTACCCGGAGCATCTAGACTTGTTTCAGAACAGCCAACACCACCACACCATTCACTGGCTGCACGCAGAGGGCACACAACAACAGCAGACGGCCAGTGATCACATTCATCACGGCTACACATACTGTCTAGGAAGGGGCACGGAGAGAAGGATGAGAAGAACACACACACAAATCAGCAGCAGCAGCATGGAGAAGGGGTGGCGTTTACATGGGGGTTGTTGTCATGAGCATCGGTTACGCGTGCACGCAGGAAGAACAGGCAAAAATAAAACACCGGACAGCACGGCACACAACTCCATGGCATGTAAAATCCACCCGCAGCTGCCCCCAAATGGAAGGGAAAAAGGGCGCAACAGTGCGGCAGGAAAACAGAGATGCAGGTACAGAAAAAAATCCTAAACCGACGCAAAAAAAAAAAAAAAAAAAACGAGGTCTTCACCCACAGCGGCCTCATCCAACACGCAAATAATAATAATAATAATAATAATAATAATAATAATAATAATCAAAACTACACACGGCAACTCACAGGGCAGTGAATTTCCTTTCGACAACCTTCAAGGCTACTCGCCCCGCACTCTTCGGGATTCCATCGCTCCGCCGCCTTCCTCCTTCCAGCGGCACCCCCACACGAACAGCCACAGCACACAATCGGGTCCATCCACTCCCGTCGCCACGCCGCCCTCCAAGACACAACAGGCAACCGCCCAACGACTGTTGCAGAAATCACACACCCGCGCCGAAGCACGCGACGCAACATCATGTCACGTGGACCCCGCCGTCGGCAACACGTCATGTCAACCGTTTGGCCGGCACACGGAACAATCAATTGACAGAACAGAGAAGTAAGGCAGGTACTCAAACAAGGACTCTCCACACACACACACATGGCTCTTTTGATGCCAATGCAGCTGCCACGGGCACGGTATCCGAGCGGAAAATGACAAGCAGTAAAAAAAAGCCTCGTCAGAGAAAACCACTCCACACGTCCATACGAAAAGTGCCACTCAGGCTGCTGCAGCTGCAGGGTCCGTGGACAAAAATGCGCCTTACCGAATCCCGCCAACTATGTCAGTCTCCCCTCCCACCAATGCCACGCATAATGCACGGTGTGCGTCCACAGGCATCCACTCCTGGCGGCCTAGCAACAGTCCAGAAACAAACGCAACAGGAGTAATACAACGAGCACCACACTATGCCACCGCAACAGCTAGCACACCACAGGACAGCAACACGCCACGCACCGATGTTTTGCTATTCCACACAATTCATTTACCGCACACACCAAAACACACAGAATGGGAAAAGCAAAGGATCATTACACAATGCAAAAGCAATATAAATAAAAGCAAGAAAATCAAAACCCACACAGATCCCTTGCACACGCACACAAACGCCCCCACAGCATTATTCAGAAAAAGTCAAACAGATTGTTACTCGTAAACCATCAAAAAGAAAAAAAGCGTGTTACCACCACATGAACGACCAACACAAAAAAGAAAGAGTGTATAGAGCATTTCTCTGGTGCAAAGCATAGAGACAAGCAGAGCGTATATATGTATATATATACTGAGAGGGACATATCAATTAATATAGGCTTTTCTCTCTTGCATCCAATGCTGAGTGCCATCCTCGCAGGAAGTAACCACAGTCGCATCGCCGTGCAACAGAATCCATGCAGCCACTCAATAGAGTGTTGGTACGGCGGCGGCGGCGGCAAGCAGAAGAAGCAGCGGAAAGGGACAGGGACAAGAAGCAGCCGCAGTGTTATTGCCATGGATCGGAGGCGGGGCGTCCTTCAGGTCTGCCTCCCGATCTCCGCACCCACCGCTGCATCATCCTCCCTCGGCGGAGGGTCCACGGCGCCCTGCGCAGCATCAGCGGCATCAGGGCCCTTGGGTCCCGTGGTTGTGGCACCGCCACCGGCCCCGTCGCTGGCGGCTCCATCTCCTGCCGGTTGTCCCACAACAGACGTCACACCATCGGCGGCGACATCTTCGTTGCACGGAAGATCGCTCTTCTTCAAAGCCTCCTGCGGCGCACCCGCAGTGTCGTTGGGTGAGATCACCCCGTTGCCTGTCGGAGCATCTGGGGCGACTGCCTCTCCTCGGGCGACGGAATCTTCTGCGGTGCAGCCGACTCAACATCCTTCGGTGGGGTGCCGCGGCCGGTCTCAATGCTCTCCGCAACAGGGACGGATGCCCCTCGCAATCCTTGTTCAGTAGATGCCGGTGGAACCGTCCTGCTCCACATGCTCTCTCCTCGCCGTCACACGGAACCACTGGAAGTAGGCTGCCGGCAGTGGCGGATATCCTGCACACCTCCGCGTGGTCAGGGCGAATAACGCTTCCCTCATCTTAGGGTGGAGTGGCCCACGTAATCGTCGCCCCGTCCGTGCATGGGACACAACGGACGTTACCCTTTTCGACCACTCTAAGACGCACCTGCATGCCGGGACATTTCAACGCCGCATGCATGGCAGCAATCAGATATGTATCCTCCGGGTCCCTCGCATCTGTCGTGTTGGTGGGAAGCGTGTCCGGACACCACGAAGAGGGCTCATCCCCAGGCATCACAGACAAACATTCTCCCCTCCAAATAACAGCGTCAGCATCCCTCACATCCACTGCGGGATCAGTGACGGGGAAACTGTCCATCGGGCGTTTTGCTGACATTTCATGAACGCTCCCCAAAAAACAGCCAATGGAATACAGATCCGACGCGCAGCATTTGACGGGACGCCCAATTCGCAGAGCATGTGGGGATATTCACTCATTTTCAGTGCAGATCAATTCCTCTGCAGCAGCACAACTTCCTGCTCCAGCGCATCGGCTCCGCCATATTCCACCTCACCCTCATGCAGCCCAGGTCAGCCGATGCGGCCAGCGCCAGCTCCGTGCAGTCGCCGACACCCCCAATCGGTGCCATCCACTCATCCCTCGCTTGGCGCTGCCACCAGTGCGACTCCAGCGTCCTCCCGTCCCCATCGTCATCCTGCAGCTCCATGCCATCAACGTCGTTGCAGTCGTGGTGCTCCCTCGCTGCCATCGCGGCATTCGTCGAGTGCACCACCACCGACAGCGCCCCGCCACGCACACACAGGCAACATTCCTCACCATGCTGCGGCTGGCCATGTGCAGGCAGGCGAGCCCGAGCGCATGGGTCATAAAGTGCGCGGCGATGCGGGTGGCGAGGCGTCGGTGAAATAAAACTTCCGGGCAAAGTGCATGGCGCCAGCAACTGGACGGCCATCCTCCAGCGTGGCGCACGGCAGTGCCCACACACCACCCAGTGCCGCAGCCACGGACAGCACTGTGCCAGAATTGGCAACACCAGCGGAACAATGCCCAGCGGACACCGTGAACCGACTGCAAACACTGCCCGTGGCAAGTGACGGCACAACCAACGGACCCTCCAGTGGCTGGACGAGCAGACGATCCGCATACAGTTGGACAGCAGCAGGGACAGTCTCCTCGGCAAAGATGTTGCCGTGCGCAGACGACGCAACGCCATTCCTGCAGACAAACGCGCCGTCCAATGCATTCCCTGTGCAACAACAGAAGAAGCCGCAGTGCCTCCTGCTCTCACACGGCTCCGTTGTTGACGCCTTGATGCGGACGGGCACCCATCGGTCCCTCCAAACGAAGTCGTGAAGCCGCAATGCATCCTGCGCTCCGAGAGGCATTTTCCCCACCGTAACCGGAATCGACCTCGCGCGGTCGGTCCGCACCACAGCGTCACGAAATCAGGAGTAATTCAGGGTGACAGCGAAGCATCCGCTGACAAATCACATCGCAGGCATCATCACAGGCACCATCACTAGCAGAAGCGGTGGAGGTCGCGTGGCGACGTGGATCAACTGACGCATGAAATATATAGAAAAAAAACGTGGTGGCTTGACAAAGATAAAGAAGGCCTACACTTTCTCACCAACGAAAGAAACGTTAAGAGAATATAAAAGAGAGGATTCACGTGACAGCAGTCAAAGCAACCACAAAAATCAAAAAAAAGAAAATAGGTGCACTCAACAACAATAAGGCAAAACAATAAAAGAAAAAACAAAAGCCGAAGCGTGGGACGACCAGCACATACACTCATTGCTCCCGTAAAGCAAAACACACACACAGGGAGAGAGAGAGAGAGAGGTCGCCCACTCAAAGCAATAAAAAGAAACAGTTACGGTGCTCCGCCCATGCAGCCAGGCAGGACGGCAGCGGTGCGTGTCGTGCAAAAGAGAGCACCAACGGGCCTGCATGGGTGTGCATGCATATATACAATGGGCACATTATGTGTGTGCTTCGTGGGGTGAGGTGAGGGCGAGAGTCCATGCAAGGGGAGACACACAGAGTGAGAGTGAGAAAGACGAGTGTGTGTGCGGGCAGTGCACGGCTCTCTCTCACTCACTCTCACGCGGCCACCACCGCAGCAGCAGCCGCACACGCAAGAACAAGAAGAAGCAAAAAAGGGGAGGTGGTGTGGGAGACCGCGGTGCTGCCGTCACTGTCGGCAGGCGTCGCCGTGTTATTTGTTTGGGCGGCGGTGATTGTTTCTGCTTTTTGTGGTGCTGCCTCACTCATTTTGACTGTACTGCTGTCGCCGTCGTCGATCTTTTCATTATCGCCATTTTGGCGTTTTTCTGTGTCTGAAGTATCTGAATTTTGAGGATCCTCAGTTTCCTTCGTCACTGTGGATTTTTCCTCGTTAGATGTAGGAGTTCCAGTTGAAGGTGACACAGCTGCCAGTTGTTGGCTGCCAGTTGATGTACTCTGCGGTGTAACTGGTGTATGTGCAGGTTCCTCGTTGTTTCCTGCCTTCGCATTTTTTTCATTTTGGCAAATCAGGTGACTTTTCGGATGCATGCGTGTTGTGACTGTCATTCTTATCCACTGGTGGTTCTGTTTGTTGTTGGGTTTTGGGCTCCGACTTTGTTGCTTTAGATGCGTCAGGCACGGCCCTCTCACCGCCCTGCAGTGTTTGAATTGTGTTCCCTGGTAATGCTCTTGCTTCGGTGGGCTCCAAATTCCCTTTTCCCTTGGTTGATTCGTCTAAACGGGGTTGATCATCCGCACGCGACTGGGTGTCGTTTTCAACTCTTTCACCCCCTGCTGGGGCAGAATTTTTTGGTGGCTCCACTACAGCGGGGGTTACCACTGCCGCCTTTTCTTCAAGCGATGAAGAGTGTTGAGGTTTTGGTCCTTCTTCTGGCGAAACTCCTTCTTGGGAATTACCCTGCGAAACGGATGAAAGGCCACCTGTAGAACCCGCGCCACCACCACCGTGATTTACAGGCGTATCAACAGAAGAAGATGATTTCAAATTGGGCCCAACACCGGAATCACCAGCACCTCCAGGAACAACAGTACCGTGACCCCCACCAGAAACAGAACCCGTACCTGTAGTCGGAACTGAACCCAAAGTGGTCCCTTCCTCTGACTTACGCGTTTCTTGCTCATCCTCGGCTTATATGGCAGGGATGGGCAAAATGGACCGCAAAGGCAGCGTGAGCGCAGTTTTCTCACAGCCGCTCTTCACATACGATGTTTTGGTTCCAAAACCTCCAGAAGCCAAGTAGCCATCCACTGGGTTGTTGTCGAGCTCCCTCGCATAAACCCAGCCGGCACCGCACCACAGCACGCAGAGGACACACACCAGCAGCACACGGCCAGTCATCACCATCGCCATCACTCCTGTCACTTGCGTGTAGCCTTCAGCACAAACCAACACCCCGCCAACGGAGAGCAAAAGCAAAAAGAGAGAAAATTCACACAGCCGCGCACCGTCACCACACAGTCACAAATGGCAATGCACGCACCATGAGGCAGTTGGAGTCAGTACAGTTGCAGAACTCACACAACGCCCTGCAAACCAAAAGTTAAAAACGCAGTAAAAAAGAACAACAACAGAGTTGAGAGTCCGGCACGACTCAAAAAATAAAATAAAATGAAAAACGATCAGGCACGTCTTTTATTTTATTTGCCAAGCAGCAAAATGTAAACGACTTCTGGTTTGTGTATACGTAATGCATGGACTGAAAAAGCAAAAAAAGATCGTACTGTTCCGTGAGCCCACAAAACATTCCTCACACTTCATTGCGGCATCCGGCCTGTTCCTCCAATCCTCCTCTTGTGCAGTCCGTGGGACGCACAGCCGCAGGGCCGTTACCGCGTGTGGGCAAGAGAAGGAAACAAGGAGGGAGAAACACGTCCCTCATGAGAAAGTACTGCAAACGAGCCTTGGGGAAAACACAGGGATGCTGATTATTCAAATAGGGCAAAAGCAGCAAAAATAAATAAATAAAAGAAAATAAAAAAAGCTTAAATTATTGACAAAACACAGTGGGTAATGCTGGCAAGCTGCACAGTTATTGTTCCAAGAAAAACCGCAATTCCACCCTCCCTCACACTTCAGCAGAGTGCCGCAGTGCCCCACAGCCCCAGAAGCAGAAGCAACAACACCCGAGACACACACCTATGCACGGTGCTGTAATCAATTTCAGCCATGGCCAACAAATCCGTGAAATGCCCGTGCTCACAAAAACCGTTGCTCACAAGTGATGCTGCGTTGTGCTCCGATGGGATCTCTGGTTTCCCAGACGTTGTGCGCAAATAATCCTGTGCGGCATCACCGCCGCCCGACACGTTATCACTCGTTCAACATTTGCTAGGGCTCTGCTGGGCTCGGGCGTGGCTGTTGTACCATCCAAGGGCATTAGATCGCTGTTGCTGGGTGAATTGGGGTCGCTGCCCGTGCCCACGGCAGTGCGGGCATACGTGTCCTATTCATGGCCAACGTGTTTTTAGTCGCTGGCAACTGTGTTGGCGGTGGACGGCCCGTCGTCCCTCGCTGAGCATGCGTCTGGATTCGCTGCGCTGCCACTTGACTTCCCGGACAGCCGAGCTCCCTGTGCGGCCTCACCGCGCAGCTGCCGGCAGCCTTGCATGCTCCTGCCGAGCGGAGTGTCCTGTCACTCAGCATGGCCACAGACGCTTCCCAGTTCCCCGTCTGGCAGCATCCCAATCGCCCACACGAGTTCCTGTCGCCACAGACTCCCTCTCGACGATGGAGTCGCTCCGCCTTGGCCCGCTGGCGGTGCGCGACGACGTCACCGAGGAGATTTGTACCGTGCCGCTTTCACTGGTGGATTGAGGTCGCGCAGTTGGCTTCACATTTTCACCATGACACTGCGGAATCCCACGCAACGTGACAGCGGACGCTGACGCCATCATGGCACGATCCCTCCCGCAGGACTGCGTCAATGCCTGGCACGTGGGCTTCCTCGCTGCAGTGGAGCGACTGTACCGGAAGGATATCCAGGAGGAAAAGGAAGACGCGCACACCGCACGCCAGGCGCTCTTCGGTGTGGCGAGGACTCTATTCCTGATGTTGACCCCGACATCGTGCCCCGAGCGGCGGCACTGCGCACAGGCGCGATGCGACTCCTGCCCACTCTTCGACAGGCCTGCACGCGCCCTGCGGATCACAAGTAACTCCCTTTGTGTGTCGGTGGCGCCGTCCCTCCCTCACTGCGGTGACCGGCCCGCCTCCGCCTCCGCCGGAACCTCTTCCCGAAGTGAGCGCCACAAATTTTTGCCGACAAGCGTGCGACGGAATGACGTCCTCCTGCACAAAGTGCGGCAGAGTGCGCTCGTCCATCCACAGTATGAGGGCACATGCCGGACGTGCTCAGCCTGGCGTTATAATAGTTTGAGAGGGCCTCCCATGCGGATGCCACAATGGCGCCACCATCTTCTTAACAGGTGCCTCGCGCGCGGGAAACACAAACGCGGGCACGCAGGATGGAGCAGTCCCTTCCGCCACCGCTTCATTACAGACGCCACGGGCTGCGAATCCCACGGCAAACCACGGGAGAATCCGCCTCATCCACTGTGGGAATGCCCCGTCATTGAGAGTGAGGACTGCGACTGTTTGGAACTTCCCCAGCATGCACGACGGCCCGTATGAGACTGGATACTGGCCTCGTTGCTACGGACGGCCCTTGCGCTACAAACTCAGTGCTTTCAAAGCAAACAAAGAAGAGGGGAAAAAGAATCTATTGTTTTGTGATGAATATTGGCTGCACTTCCTGTGGGCCAACAATTCACGTGGTGTGAGGGGATCTCTCATTTATTATTGTTACTTTGCTTTTGTGTTGCTGTGTGCGCTGCACCTCCTCTTGTGTGCGTGCGTACACTCCGTGAGGGGTGCAGATACGACGGACCGCTCTCGCCCTATGTGCATGCGGTAGAGCCTTGTGTGCCGCTCCTGTTTGCTTCTCCCTCTTCCATCTGTGTGTTGGTGTTGTGGCAGGGCTGTGTGTGTGTTTGCCTGTTGCCGTGGATTGGAGTGTGTGTCGTGCGTGGTGTGCGGCGTACGGTGCATGCCTGGCTGCTGCCCTCTCCTCATGTGGTGTGCCCTCTGTGTGTGTCTGCCGCACCTCTCGTCTTCCCTGTTGCCCTCCATGTCCCTCACTGTGCAGATCAGCTCCACACCACTGAACGACCACACTCACGATGATGACGTGCCGTCTGCTGTGCGCCCTGTTGCTGCTTCGCCCTGTGCTGCTGCCTGTCCGTATGCGTGACAGCGGTTGAAGTTGATCTTCCTGAACTCAGTCCGGACTCCGGTCCAGAAAAGGGACCAGTTGGGGCGGAAGTTAATCAGAAGGGAACAGAAGCGGACCGAGGACTGAGGAAAGATGCGCCAAAGGATCAAGCTGGGAAGGATATGCAAAACATACAAGGTTCGCCAGCCGTTTCGGAAGAGGAACAAGATGATGATAAGGGTCCTGGTTTAAATCTCTCTGGGCCGAACGCAGCAGTTTCAACCAATAATTCAGATTTAAAAGGTTTGGAAACCACCATCCCAATGGTATCAAGTCAGACGATCGGTACTTCAAGGAGAAAAAGTTTGTCCCATGCTCAGGGGGTGGTGGGTGATACAGTCGGTACCGCAAATGGATCAAAAGAGAAGCTTCCTGAGCCAGAAACACAGGGTACGGTGACTGTGGCAGGGTTACAAGCTCCGACACAGGCAAAGGAAACCGTTGGAACTAAATCCCCAAATGAAACAGAAGGAGTGGCAGATGCGCCAATTACCACGACGAGCACCACTAGTACAACGGCATCAGAGTTACAGGTCCAAAGCAAAAAAGAAGAGGAACCAGTTATTACGAACGGTAGGGAAAACACACAAAGTACGGTGTTCAGTGGGGCGTCCAACAGTCAAGTTGCATCAATTGCGTCTGGTCATTCAGGATCACAAGTTCCTGGCGTTCTGCTAAAGCGACCTACTTCACAAACCGTTAAGTCAAGGGCACAAAGTGTGACAATTCATTCCGAAAACGGACAAGAAACGAAGACCATTGCATTGAAGACCACGACGACTACAGAGGCGCCAACCACGACGACCACCCGCGCACCGTCACGTCTTCGTGAAATCGACGGCAGCCTCAGCAGCTCTGCGTGGGTGTGTGCCCCGCTGCTGCTCGCCGCATCCGCGCTGGCGTGCACCGCTGTGGGCTAAAAGGGAGCGTGGGCTGTGCGTGCCAGCACTCAGCCACGGGGACATGTGTACGTATACTGTGGTCCGATGTATAAAATAAGCGTAATTATGATGGTCGTTTTTTGCTTTGTTTGCTTCCGCTGCCCTGCTGTGTGCTCCGTGTTGTGCACAACATACGCCACGTTGAACGCGTTCCAGACACACTCATATGCACGACATGCACACAACTTTTTACTTGGATGCACTGTTGAAAATGGGTGCATGCGCACAGGAGCCATTTGGGTGCAGGTTTTTTTTTTTTTTTTTTTTTTTTTTTTTTTGTGTGTGTGTTTTTACTGTTTTGCTTTTTTTGCTGCTTGTTTTCTTTTGTGTTGCAGTTCCTTGTTTTGAGTGTTGTTAAATTATTGCAGGTCGCTGTGCGTTTTTTGCACTTTCATTGGTTCAATATTTCTCATGAAACGCATGCTGCTGCTGGTGGTGTTTTTTACTGTGCCGTGTCTTTTCCTTTTGCTTTCACTCTGCGTTGACGGGGAGTTAGTTTGTGCTGAAGGCTGCACGCAAGTGACAGGAGTGATGGCGATGATCATGACTGGCCGTGTGCTGCTGGTGTGTGTCCTCTGCGTGCTGTGGTGCGGTGCCGGCGGTTTGGCTGAGGAGGGGTCAGGTATAACTCCGCCTGGTGCTTCTGCGGATGGGGTTGATGAAAGATTGCAGGAATCACCGCTCCTTTTACAAGGCAGATTACAAAAGTCGGTTTCAGAAGGACCGGAGGTTAAAGACACAACAAAAGAAACACATATAAAAGTACTTCTGGCAGAGGAAGAAAATTCCGATAAAGAGGATGAGGATGAAGGACTAACTCTATCAGGAGAAGAAATTCTTCCGTCGTCACCACCACCAGTTGGAGGAAGATTACCACAAGTCGATGATGGACCACTGAAAAATGTAAATGAAATTGGACCGAAACCTGAAAATCAACGCCCAGTCGTGGCTGGAAAACACCAATCAGAAAAAGAAACAGATCCGCGGCTAGCAGCAGCAGCATTGCCTGCAGAGCTTCCATCGCCCATTGTGAAGGCACCGGAGAGCTCAGAACCCGAAGCAGAAACACATCTCTCTAATAAAGAAGGAGCAGAAATTGGAGTTGGTAATATGAATCTTACGGAGAAACAGGGAAGCCAGAACGGCGTGAAGAAGGAAGGCCTTTCAATCAACCCACAGGCAACAGTACCACCACAACAAACATTATCAGAAAAACAACGCTGGAAGTATCACCGCCAAAAGCACCACCAGCAGTGACAGTTCCAGAAAAAGGGAAAGGCTTTCCAGCACCAAATCTCTCACAGGAGTCAACACAACAAACGAACGAAAACACGCCGTCACAAAAAGAAACGGCACCCGAAGCAGTGAAACAGCTTTCAGGGGAAGGTACGGCAGAGCAACAAGGGCGCGAGAGAGACAAATCAACTTTGGCGGAGATTACCGATAGCGGCAGCCATGCGGAAACAACAGCACCATTCATCTCTACAAATGACAGTGACGATGCTCAGAGTACGGTGGATGAAAATAATGACGATGATCCACGGCCTAACCACAGAGAAACAGGTGGCCACAAAGCTGCCAATACCAACAATGCTTCTACACCCAGTGAGACAGCACCACAAAAAACAGAAACAGTCACCGTCGCCCGAATGAATGGTACGACTATTGGAGACAGTGACGGCAGCACCGCGGTCTCCCACACCACCTCCCCTCTTTTGCTTCTTCTTGTTCTTGTTGTGTGTGCGGCTGCTGCTGCTGTGGTGGCCGTGCCTGCATGAAGTGGTGTGCGCCGAATATGAACGAAGGCCAAAAGGCAACTGAATTGTTTTTGTGATGAATGTTGGCTGCACTTCCCATGGACCAACAATCCACGTGGTGTGAGGGGATCTTTCCCTTTTAATTGTTACTTTGCTTTTGTGTTGCTGTGTGCGCTGCACCTCCTCTTGTGTGTGTGCGCACCCTCCGTGAGGGGTGCCGACACGACGGACCGCTCTCGCCGTATTTAAATGCGGTGGAGCCTTGTGTGCCGCTCCTGTTTGGTTCTCCCTCTTCCATCTGTGTGTTGGTGCTGCGGCAGGGCTGTGTGTGTGTGTGTTTGTTGCCGTGGATTGGAGTGTGTGTCGTGCGTGGTGTGCGGCGTACGGTGCATGCCTGGCTGCTGCCCTCTCCTCATGTGGTGTGCCCTCTGTGTGTGTCTGCCGCACCTCTCGTCTCCCCTGTTGCTCTCCATGTCCCTCACTGTGCAGATCAGCTCCACACCACCGAACGACCACACTCACGATGATGACGTGCCGTCTGCTGTGCGCCCTGTTGGTGCTCGCCCTGTGCTGCTGCCCGTCCGTGTGCATGACAGCGACTGATGACGTGAAAAAAAATGACTCCGATGAACTGCCCACACCAGAGGAAAAACGTCCGGGGACCACTTCTTTAAATCCAAGTGCTCCCACGGTCCTGAAACCGGGTACTTCGAACGGTAAGGAAGAAACACAAGGTACGGTATCCGGTGGGGCGTCAAACAATCAAGGTGCCTCAGGTGCGCCCGGTCAGTCACAGTTACAAAGTCCTGGCGTTCCGCTACAGCCACCTACTGCACCAACCGTTGCGTCAGGTGCACAAAGTGGGCCGATTGTACCCGAAAAAGAAGAAGAAAAGAAGACGACTGCATCAACGACCATGACGACCAAAACCACAAAGGCACCAATCACAACTACGACTACGACTACGACGACCGCTGCACCGGAGGCACCAAGTGATGCGGCCAACAGTGCAGAGGCGCCAACTACGACGACCACCCGCGCACCGTCACGTCTTCGCGAAATCGACGGCAGCCTCAGCAGCTCTGCGTGGTTGTGTGCCCTGCTGCTGCTCGCCGTATCCGCGCTGGCGTACACCGCTGTGGGCTAAAAGGGAGCGTGGGCTGTGCGTGCCAGCACTCAGCCACGGGGACACGTGTACGTCTACTGTGGTCCGATGTATGAAGTAAGAGTAATTATGATGATCGTTTTTTGCTTCATTTGCTTCCACTGCCCTGCTGTGTGCTCCGTGTTGCGTCCCACATCCGTCACGTTGAACGCGTCCCAGACACACTCATATGCATGCGCAGCCGGGCCTTGTGGTATTTTTCTATAATATCTTTTTTTAATTTTTAATTTTTTGCAGGGTGTTGTGCGAGTTTTGGATTTGTGCTGGATTCATTTTTGTAATGGTGTGTGCACTGCTGCTGGTGGTGTTTTTTGCTCTGCCGTGTCTCTTTTTTTGGTTTCACTCTGCGTTGACGGGGTGTTGGTTTGTGCTGAAGGCTGCACGCAAGTGACACGAGTGATGGCGATGATGATGGCTGGCCGTGTGCTGCTGGTGTGTGCCCTCTGCGTGCTGTGGTGCGGTGCCTGTGGGGTTTATGCGAGGGACCGCGACAACAGCGCAGTGGGTGGCTGCATGGCGTCAGGAGTGTTGGATACGAGAAGATTGTATATGCCAAGAAGATGTAACAAAACTGCTGTTACGCTGCCTTTGCGGCATGTCTTTCCCATTTCTGCCGTTGGAGCCTCGACTGACGGACAAGTTTCTGGTAAAATTGATGGTGGTTTGTTTCCAATTCCGGCACCAGCACTACCACCAGCGCCAAATACACCGAAAGCTCCAGAAGCCCCAACATCACATGGCGTGAGTCAACCTGCTGTTGGTGTTCATTCTGGTGATGGAACCCCTTCGCTTCATATTCCTAATGTTGACAGTTCTGTCGGTGGCGGTTCTGGACAAAGTGGCAATTCTAACGGAAGTGTAGTTTCCGTTATGGAGCCGCCTTCTACTGTTGTTGTTATTTCTCCATCCTCCGTTTCCCCTGAAGTTGATGGTTTACAGAACAAAGACGGTCCGCCCTCTAATCTGAAATTGGGATCTCCAGCAATAAGTGTAGAGTCAGGAAAAATCCTTGTAGGGCACAACGGGGAGACAGAAAAGGATTCAACCCCCGATGATGGTCCAGAGTCCTCTCGTATACAAGAAGAAACAGAATCTCGAGCTACGACTGAGGAAGCACGTGGAAGCGAAGCGGGGCAGAGTGGAGTGGGGACGAACGGCCCTTCCAACGTGTTGTCTACCGAAAGCCAACAGCAAAATCGAGAAACAACAGTAACAGAAACAAAACCACCACCACCGTCGCCAGGAAAACAAATACCGGCAGTATCATTACCACCGGGAGTAGATGCACCTGCAGCTCTCTCACCAGGGCCCCAAGCATCATCACCGGAACCATCACGAGCAGCGGAAGATCCAGAAGAAGAGAAAAGAATCCTACCAGCAACAACAGCTTCACATAATTCAAAAGGAGAAACGCACAAAGCGTCATCCTTACGAACCGAAACGGTGTCCGCGGCACCGAAACCGCCTTCACCGGATGTCGTGCTTGAGCAAAACAGCGAAGGCACAGTCACAAAGGATGCGATGAAGACGGATGCATATACGGATGGCCCAGCGGCAACATCAGAATCATCTATCTCCACAAGTGACAGTGGTGTTGTTCAGGATAAGACGGAAGAGGAGGATGACAATGAACAACGGCGTGAAGCCAAAGGACCGCACAATGACCCCCATGCCGGAAATACCAACGATGCTCCTACAGCCAGTGTTACAGCAGCAGAAACAGTGAAAACGATTACCACCCAAACAAATACTACATCTAAGTCTGGCGACAGTGACGGCAGCACCACGGCCTCCCACACCACTTCCCCTCTTTTGCTTCTTCTTTTTGTTGTTGCGTGTGCGGCTGCTGCTGCGGTGGTGGCCGCGTGAGGGTGAGGGAGAGAGAGCCATGCACCGCCCGCACACACACTCGTCCTTCTCTCTCTCTCTCTGTGTGTGTCCCCTTGCATGGACTCTCGCCCTCACCTCATCCCACGAAGCACACACATAATGTGCCCATTGTATATATTGCATGCACACCCATGCAGGCCCGTTGGTGCTCTCTTTTGCACGACACGCACCGCTGCCGTCCTGCCTGGCTGCATGGGCGGAGCACCGTAACTGTTTCTGTTTTGTTTTCATTGCATTGAGTGGGCGACCTCTCTCTCTCCCTGTATGTATCTGTGTGTTTTGCTTTACGGGAGCAATGAGAGTGTGTGCGCTGGTCGTCCCACGCTTCGGCTTTTTCTTTTATTGTTTTGTTTTGTTTTGTGGTTGAGAGCACCCATTCCGCGGGCTGCGTGTGTGTGTGTGTGTGTGGTGCTATGAGTAATTTGCGTGCGTGCCATACTCTTCTTTCTGCCGTTGCATTCTTTGGACTTTCTTGTACTACACAACTGCTCTTCATTTATAGGTACGAACAAACATATGCACACACAATCGCCATTTTGCACACGCTGTGGAGCGGCATGAACGCTGCGAACGCGGGCACAAGATCCCGGCTGTGGCGGCTCTTACGAGTTAGGAGGTCGTGGGTCCGCAATTTGTCCCGGCGACGTGATGCGGATGTTATTTTGGCGGTGTGCGGCCAGTGAGTGGTGTGGCATTTCGGGTGTCTGGGACAATTGCTTATTGACTCTCTCCCAACAGCCGTACCTGCCGACGTGTCACTGCAGCTGTGGATCCGGCGACGAGGGATTCTCCGGCTGTGTGGGGTGTTGTGCGGGTGCGTTGGAAGAGACAACAGCAGTACGACTGGCGGCAGCGCATGGGTGCTGCGAAGGGCGGCGGTATTCTTTTGCATTTCGCCGGTTGTGTTTTTTGCGTGGGCGCTGCTCGGTGTGCGCTGAAGTGTGACGAATAGAGACACAACCGGCGTGGCTCCTGCTGCTGCTGGCGGTGGCAGTCGCTGTGTGTTCCCGGTGCACTGTTCTTCCTTCTCCTGTTCCGTGTGTCTGTGTGCGTGAGTTTTTGTTGTTGGGAGTGACTGCGGCGGGGATGATGGTGCCACTCACTGTGGATGGGTGGCGGTGCTCACTGTTTCATCCTCTTTTCTTGGCTTGTTTTCTTTTTATTTTTCAATCACACACGAAGAAGGAAAACAAGCGCCAATCGCTACTGTGAACTTGTAAGGCACTGAAAGGACCAACAGCACACACACCGCCCACACACACATATTTATATGCTCTCACGTGTTGCTGCAGTGAAGGCACCCCGCAAACACAACCGTCACCGCGTGACCGGATCCAGCGGAAGGAGGAGGGAAGGAAGAGAGAGTGAGCGGCAGAGGCCCAACATGTCTAGGCATCTCTTCTATTCTGCGGTGCTGATCCTCCTTGTCGTGATGATGTGCTGCAACACTGGTGGGGCTGCGGCTGCTGAGGAACCAAGTCAGGGAGCTTCGTCGGGAAAATATTATGTTTGGAGAGACGTGAAAGATGGAGAAGAAACAGTGAGTTCGTTACGTGTTCCCAGTCTTTTGAAAGTGGAGATTGATGTGTTTGCCGTTGCCGAGGCGCATTGCGCGAAGGAGGGTGAAGAAGGTTTTACTGGGATTGCCTCGAAGCTCCTGGCGTTGACTGGTGAACAAACAAGCAAGGAGTTGGATAAAACTAAACTGAAGACACAAGTACTGGAGGAATGTCCCCCCGACGATAAAGGCGTCTGCAGCATAGCGGATCAGGCTGATTCCCAAAAAGTGAAGAAAGTACATGTGGGCCGACCAACAACAGTTGTGCGGGGAAGTGATATTTACATGCTTGCTGGAAATTACAGTTGGACACTTACCGATAATGACCAGGCAGGTGGCTGGGGACTCATGCTGGTGAAAGGGAACGTCAGTAAGAAGGAAGGAGAAAATAACAGAATTTATTGGAATGATACTTACGTTATCCCGTGGTATTATAATGGCAATCAAAATGAACCCTTGAAAAGGCTGGTTGGTAGCGGTGGATCGGGTGTTAAGATGGAGGATGGTACGCTTGTGTTTCCGCTGGAAGGCACCAAAAAGAAGACGAACCAGGATGATGGCAACGAAAAGGATGGAAAGACTGTTTCGCTAATCATTCACTCCTTTGAGGATATTGCGGGTTGGGTGCTGCCGAAGGGGATGTCTGACGATGGCTGCAGTGATCCCTCCGTCGTGGAGTGGGAGAAGGAAAAACTCATGATGATGACTGCGTGTGATGGTGGCCGCCGCAGGGTGTACGAGTCCGGTGACAAGGGGGAGTCGTGGACGGAGGCACTCGGGACACTCTCGCGCGTGTGGGGCAACAAACACGAGGGAAATGAGAAGAGCGTTAGGAGCGGGTTCATCACAGCGACTGTTGGAAATGATAATAAAAAAGTGATGCTCATCACCCTGCCAGTGTATGCCAAGAAAGCTGAGAAAGACAACGAGGAAAAGGGCGTACTCCATCTTTGGCTGACGGACAATACGCACATTGTTGATATTGGGCCGGTATCCAAGAAGGACCATGACGTTGCCGCCAGCTCCCTGTTGTACAAAGGTGGAGATAATAATAATCAGGAGGAGTTGATTGCACTGTACGAGAAGATGAAGGACGATGAGAAAGAAACATCACCCGGTATGGCCTCTGTGCCTCTGAATAAGCAGCTGCAGCGGGTGAAGGAGGTGCTGGCGACGTGGAAGGAAGTGGACGAACGTGTCTCCAAGCTGTGTGCCACTTTACTTGCTCAGGAGGTTACGCCACCTGACAGTGCCTGCACTACTGTTAAGATCACGGATGGGCTGGTTGGCTTTTTGTCCGGCAACTTCTCTGATAACACATGGATGGACGAGTACCTCGGGGTGAACGCCACAGTAAATAAGAATGATGGGGCAACAGAGGCTTTTGATGGCGTGAGGTTCCGGGGAGCGTGGGCGGAGTGGCCCGTTGGCAGTCAAGGGGAGAATCAGCAGTACCACTTTTCGAACTACAACTTCACTCTTGTGGCGACGGTGTCCATCGACGGTGTGCCGAAGGAAGATACCCCCATTCCATTGTTGGGTGTGAAGATGGATGGCGATGAGAATCCTATATTGTTGGGACTGTCGTACGACAAGGAAAAAAAGAAGTGGCAGTTGCTGTGCGGTGGCGGACAGAACAAGGAGCATAGCCGCGATTGGGATCCGGAGACAACGAAGAAAGACCACGTGGTAATTTTGCTACGGAACGACAGCCATTTCTCCGCGTACGTCGATGGTCAGCGTGTGGGTGATGTGCCGTGTGCATTGGGAAATACGGATTCTAAAGTAATCTCCCACTTCTACATTGGAGGGGATGGAGACAAGACACGGAAACAAGAAGACGTGTCTGTGACGGTGACGAACGTCCTGCTGTACAACCGCCCGTTGGATGAAGCAAAGATTGGCGCCTTCAACCCGAATAAAGATCCAATTCAACTATTTGAAGAGAAGCCGTCGGAGCATTCAACAGTTTCTTCTGATTCCATTGTACCTCCCAGTCCTCCGGTGATCGCAACTGCTCAGCAAACCGGAACTCCGTCCACTCCTGCCGGAACACAGCTGACGGAACAGGGACAGTCGATGGGGAGCAGTAAAGGTGCGGGCAGTGGCGGTGCATCCGCACCAGCGGTGTCCACTGTCAGTACTTCCTCAGCAGAAGAGGAGTCCGTAGTGCAGTCGGCTTCAGGAACATCTCCCGATGGAACTCAAACTGTGGGTGGCGGTTCTACTGCTGTTGGCGAGCCAACGATGGAGACAAGAGAAGGAACGAATGGGCAGGAGGAGCAGATCCATCCACAGGACAAGGACGTGAATGCCACGGCGCTCAGCAGCAGCCTCGTAAATGTGTCGCAGGGGAATAACAGGGATGCCGGCACTGTGCGTGGGAGCGGACTGCTGCCATGGCTGCTGCTTCTCCTGTTGGGACTGTGGGGGTTTGCGGCTCTGTGAGGAGTGACTGGCTGCCGCGTGAAAACACTTGCGACCTCCGCTGCACCGACACACACACCTGGCAATGAATTTCTTTTCATAAATAACTTTTATTTGCTTTTCTCCCTGTTTGCTTCCTTTTTTGTGCGTTTTTAATATTTTTTTTTGTTTTAATTTCAGTTTTGCTTTTTTACCAAATTCTTTTGTTTTTCTTTTTCCCTTTATTTTCATTCCCTCTTTTCCTTTTTGCTGCGCTCTTCCTGTGAGGGGTGCCGTGTGTTTCCCGCCCAACTGCTCCACTCGCACACCCACCGACACGCTCATGACGACGGCCCTGTGCGCCTCGCCTGCTGCACGCATGAGGAGGGGCCGCGACGAACGGCGCGCTGAGGGAGCCGTGACGTGTGGGCGTGCGACGAGGGCCTGTGGGGCGGAGCACACATTTCTTTTCCTCTTGTTTTGTTTTCTTTGCGGCGAGGGCTGGCAGACACCCGCAGCGCCACACACACACACAGCCACACCCTGCCGCCGTGTTTTTAAGATTTTGCTTTTCGTGTTCATTTCACGCGCTGGCAGTCCTGTCAGCATTTCTCTCCCTCCTGATGATTTTTTTTCTTTTGCTGCGCTCACTCTCCCGATGGAGTGACGCGACTCCCGTCATGTCTGCGTGCTTCTCTCAGTCCCCACACACACGAGTGACTGTGCTCTGCGGGCCGCACTCGCACGCCGATGGGAGGGCTGAGGGGAGCAGCAACACGCAGATGACCCCATGAAATATAAACGATGTGCGGACACATGAGGGTCGGACGGTTGAAACACACGCAACCATCTTTTCAATTTTCTTTTTGGGCAAAATATATACAGACAGTTTGGTGTGGCCACACGGCAGCCAGGCGATTCTTAAATTTGTGTGGAACAGTAATGGACGATTTCTTTTTCATTTATAATTATTTTGTGTGATGGGGTTTGTATAAGACGAAGGGGACTTTTTCTTTTTGTTTTAAATAAATCTTGTGTGGGTTGCCACTGCTTGGGCTGCAGTGCAGTCATGAGTTTGAGCGGTCTTCTTCCTGTTGCTTCCGCCATGCGTCTCTGCTGTACAGTTTTTTGTTGTGCGTCTCTCCACATACTCTGCTCCCTCTTTTCCACTTCTTTGCTTTGTGTTTCCGCAGGCACACAACCACACACAAGATGCACATTGCAGTGGATTTGAATGCTCCTTTTGTAGTGCATGCTGGCAGTTGCGTGTGGCGGCTGTTGTCTTCTTCCGTGGCTATGAGGAGAAGGGAGAGGGAGTGCGCAGCCCGAGTCTCTTTTCCTGCGGGTGTGGTGCACCGCGTGTGACTGCGCTAAGTTGGGCTCCGTGTCCCATTGAGGGCAGGATGACAGGAAATTTTGTGCCGCGTCATGGGTGGATGAGGGTTCGCTTCTGCGTGTGGCTGGTGTGGTGGGTGCTCGCTCCGTGTGCGTTGTGTGGTGGCCGCGGGTTTTTGCCATTTCCGTGGGGCTGTAGCGATGAGCTGGGGGAGATGGTGGTGGATGTCTTCTCCTCCTGCATGGTGAGTGGCTGCTGGCGTTGTGTGCCTTCGTTGCGTGGATGCCGTCTCGTGGTGTGTGAACTGTGCGGCTGGGCCTGCTGCCCTCTCCTCATGTTGTCTGCTCTCTTCCTCTCTGTATCCGCTGCACTCCGTCCCTCTCCCTCCTGTTCCATTCCTTTTCCTTCTGGCTCACGGATCGGCTCACTGACTCCAGCGACTCCACTACGGGTGACGATGACTGCGATGATGACGATGGTGACGGTGCGGCTCCGTGTGGTGTGCACCGTGCAGTTCCCTGCGCTCTCGTACTGCTGCTGCAATTCCGTGTGCGGGTGACGGCGTGAGGAGGCGATAATAATGATGACAGCAGTCATCTCAACCCCAAGTTGGGGAAATCAGATTTTACAGGAAATGCGCTTGATTCATTACAGCCAGAGGTTGGAGAAACTGTCAGGCCACAGAGAGTGGGAGAAGCGGTGAGGAAGTTTTAAGAAGTCAAGGACCTTCTTTGCCAAAGGAAGCAGGTACAGCCATTACTGGACACACACCGGGTGCGCCACAGCCACTAAGTTTTGCTAACGATAATCCAGAGTCACCAGGTTTGGCAACGCAGTCTCGACACACATAAGGTCTGACCGGTAAGTCAGATGCACAAAATAAATAGGCGGAGGAATATCCACAAGGTGCTGAGAATCATACGTCACAGACATCACGTCAGAAAAAAAAAAGTGCCAAATACGGAGGCGCCAATCACGACGACCACCCGCGCACCGTCACGTCTTCGCGAAGTCGACGGCAGCCTCAGCAGCTCTGCGTGGGTGTGTGCCCCGCTGCTGCTCGCCGCATCCGCGCTGGCGTACACCACTCTGGGCTAAAAGGGAGCGTGGGCTGTGCGTGCCAGCACTCAGCCACGGGGACATGTGTACGTCTACTGTGGTCCGATGTATAAAGTAAGAGTAATTATGATGATCGTTTTTTGCTTTGTTTGCT